CTTCTTGACTTGTTCTCCTTCCTCTTTTTCCACATTTGGAATAAAGAGAAAATATTAGAATTTATCTTAAACACAAGTTATAGTTGTTGCATGCAAGGTCAATAAATCACCTTGAACACCAATTCAATGGGCAATTACTAAAAATATAGAAAATTACACAATTAGTTATATTTATCAAATTAGTGGGACAATTCTTTTTAAATAAATAAATAAAATAAATATAAAAAATTACACAATTAAAAGAAAACAATAACACGTTAAAATAATAATTATTCAATAAATAAAATAAAATCAATATAGAAAATATCATAATTGACCTTCGTTTTGGCGCTAAAATTTATTAAATGACTTAAGACTTTTTTTTAATATAAGATAAGATTTATCAAGTAATTATTATGAAATTAATAAATTAAATAAATATAGAAAATTAAACAAATAAACTTATTTATCAAGTTAGTGGGACAATTATTATTAATAAATAAATAAAATAAATATAAAAAATTACACAATTAAAAGAATACAATATCAAATTAAAATAATTATTATTAAATAAATAAAATAAAATAAATATAAAAAATGACATAAGTTGTACGAAAATTGAATAACTTAATTCAATCTTTAATAAATGAATTCTTATTTTCCGACTAAATTCCTCCGAATAAAATTTGACGTTTCAGCATCCGAATCCGCCAACTAAGTGGCTTGCACAAACTTAGAATTAACCGGTCCAACGTGGCTTCTAAGTTCAAACGAATCCCTTGCAAATTAATTCGTACTGGATAATAAAATTGGTGAACATGGCCTTGAAAAGATAAACAAAGAAATCCAATTTTAATAGCGAAACGAACTTTCCTCCGCATTTAAAATCCAAACTGTATCTTGAATAACCATAATTTCCTGTTCCTCCAAAAATTAATTTGTAACCAGTTAGAAAACAGGAAAATATGCGCTGGCTAGAATAAATTCCTTGCAGCCGATTCTCGCACCGATTTAACTCGAATTCATTCATATTTCAACGTCCTCAGCTCCATATGGTTTATGAATCAAACATTATTTCAAAATCTACCTGACGACTAAATCCCGATTCTTGAATAAAAATGTACTGTGTCAAGAGGAATCTGACGTCAATATTGTCGTAAAAATCAACCCCTTCTCAAATAAAAATCCCATGATTAGGAGATGGAACCCTAATTGTTTGAGGAATCTTGGCTTTATAATCATCAACAGACTGTAAATTAACGACCCTTCTGCACTTTCTAAGTTACAGCGCATTCAGTGTTATTTTCCTGCAAAAACCAATAGGTTGAGCAAACCGGTTAGCGGTTAGTTAAAGCGAAATGCGGAATAAAATGAAATGCGAAATGAACCTAATGGTCTAAGGGTAAAATTTGGGGTATGACAGAAACCGACCGCTGTTATATCGCGAGCATATGCGATCGGTTTCTCGGGGGCGGCAAGCACGGAACTGACGGGGGCTCCCCGCCACTCTGTCTTCTATCACCGCGAACACATCAGAGTCGTCGAGGACGAACCTCGACATATAAATTAAAGGTTCCTACCTGACCCATTCCTCTAAAGGTCTCTTCGGGGGATTTAGATCGACCTCGACCTGACGACCTTCTTCGTCCTTAGACAGGTACCACTCCACCTCTCCCTCAGCATGGCCAGCCATTTTTACCTGAAAAGTAGAGGAACTTGGTGAATTCGACAGCCAAATCAAATCCACCCTTCCACCGAAGTTCAAGTTAAAGGGTGTGGTCGCCTAACAACCCATAGGACGAGTTGGGGGCAAATCTTAACCCTCGAGGAGACCAGAGAGTACACTCTCCGTCCTCGGCGCACCCATCCACTCGTGCCCGGGGCATTCATCCAATTGTCCCCGGGGCATTCAAAGTTCTAACAACCCTCCCCGGGAAATTCATCCAATTGTCCCCAGGACATTCAAAGTTCTTTCAATCCTCCTCGGGGCACTCATCACAAGGCCTGGGGATGGTCGTTTTCTACCTTAATTTTGGAGGATCTTTCGGCGTATTCGCCGGAAAAACCCGCGGTATTCCCCGCACCCCTAGCGAGGCCGCCGGAAACACCGCCATGAACAGCAAAAAACACCAGGGAATGCAAAAACTTACTTGAGATAGATGCGGAAAGACTGTTGTTGGGAAGAAAAATCCCAAATGTCGAGTAGAAGCGATCAAAGCGTCGGGCAGAAATCTTGAGATTTTGGGCAGCTGCGAATAAGCGAATAAGCGAAAAGGCGAGTCAGGTCAACATGTATATACCCCTAACACGAGAAACGAAACGTCGCTAGGCACTCATGTGCCTAGCCCGTAGCCGTCACAAGACGACACATGATAACTTTCCATCTTTCTTGCGTCTCTTCAAGTTCTGCCCTCCAACCACAGGCTCCACCTCGTCGTACGCCAATCTGGCCAACACAATTGCATCCTGCTCGACAGATCGATGCGCCCGACGCCATTCTCGCGTCCTGCCCGACAGATCGGCGCGCCCGACGCCATTCTCTATTTAAGTCATAGTTTGCCTGACTGCGAACAACGACTTGAGGGGCTACTTTTCTGAATTGGGCCGACGCTTAGCCCACAGCCCAGCAGGCCCAAAACCCACTGCGCTGGGGGCTCACTATAAATACCCTCTTCACTAGAGGGTCAGGTAACTTAACTCTTTTACTCTCTCTCTGTACTTGCTTCCACTCTGCCCGTCACTTACTTTGGCAGCGGAGTGTGTTTCAGATACACCTCCTCCTCTTTCATACCTTTGGTGGACAGCAAGCAGATTAACGACGCGTGATAGGTCACTGATTCCCTTCTGGTCAGGTACGATCATAAAATATAATAAATTTATAAATTAATATTAAATTTATAAAAGTGACTTATTTAAAATATTTTAAAATGTATTTAAACCATGACAAAATTAAATAACTAAAATTAAACTATTATACTATTTTTAATTAAATTCAAATAATTCAATATAAAATGTTTGATTTCATATTATATTAATAAAAAACTAATTATAAAATAAATCATACACTTGGCATGTTAGTATAAATCCAACTTCTTATTCTTATTTTTTATATTTTTGAATTTAACGAGTCCTTAGCATCTTAGTACAGAACTTTGGGCTCACATCGACACGAGAATCAAACTTATACAACTGAATAGCTTTTCACAACTCTATTTCCACTTTTGCTCCAGTTCCTCATTTAGCTTTGGAGACTGCTAAGTTTTTTTTCATAAGCTATTACAACTTTTGCAAACTCCTATTTCACAACCAGCAACAAAAATGCTTCAATTTTATTTATTATAGAAATTTCACATGGATTGCAAAAAAGAGTAAGAACAAAAAGTGGATATACTTGATAACTAAGATAATCAAATCGGTTAAATATGTTTTTGATCTCTTTAAATATTTTATATTTCATTTTTAGTTTCTATAAAAAAATGACATATTTTTGTTATAAAAATTTTATGCATCCAGTTTTAGTTTTTGATATCTTCTAAAATTTTAAAAGCTATTTAATTACCTTTAAATTTTTAAATTTTTGAATAATTTTTTTCATACATGTTTAGATTATTATAAAATGTTTCTTTACCAAATTATATAATTTTTGAAAATGAGAAGAATTAAATATGAACTTTTTAAATTTCAAAATATAATGATAAAAGTAATGAAAATCTTGTCTTATAAATTATATTTTAAGTTCTTCTTTTTTGAAGAACTTTTTATATCGTTATAAACATATCTGCAAAATAATCATTCAAAAATACACATTGGTTTAATAGTAGGGACTAAAACTACGTGCAAAATTATTTTGTAAGGATTAAAACACATTATTTTTTGTATAGAGACCAAAAACAAAATTTAGTATTTTAAGGACTAAAAATATATTTAACCCTAATCAAACTCATCACTTTCATGGTTCCTCATTCTCTCTGGATGAAACTGAAGTCCCATAATAAACTTTCCAACTTCAGAACTATAATTATCAAGATCATAAAATCCTTTGTTATGTTTGAGTAATAAACTTTGTGATGTGTATTGTTATGTTTGTTTGTTCGTAAAAAATCTATTTATCTATCTATCTTTTTCATTCAACTTTCTAATCAATTAACCTTTCAAAAAGCATCTTGTAACCTTGACTTTTCCATAGAACTGTAACCTTTGCTCATTTTAAAGGTTAGGGCATGTGACACTACTAAAAAAATTGAATTTAGAGAGGGTATAATTCCGTCACTAATTCACTAAAATTCCCTCACAAAAAGATTTAGTGACGGATTTAGCGACGTACATATATTCGTACCGAATTTCAATGTCGCAAATAATTTGTGAGATATTTTAAATTCCGTCATAAATAGTTACGAAACTAATCCCTCAATAAATTGAAATTTCCGTCACAGATCATTGAAAAAAATCCGCCAGTAGTTTGTGAGGGATTTTAAAATACCTCACTAAATATACTTTAGCGACGTTTATATTCCGTCACTAATTATTGAATATTATTGTATGAATACTCATTTTATGAGGGATACTTTTTGTCACTAAATTATTTAGCGACGTTTACATTCTCTCACTAAAGAACAACAAAATTCACATATTTAGTGACGTTTACAATTCCGTCACTAATCCCTAAAACCTGCATGAAATTATTGAAATTGTAAATTTCCTGCCAAATTTATTTAATATTAAAACTGAATTTTCTAAATCATCTTATTAAATATAAATCAATCGCAATATGAAACACAAGAAACTGTTTTAGTGAATATCATAAATATCTCCCAAATCAAAACTAATAGTTATAAAAATATATTCTTAAAACTAAATATTAAAAACCATAGTACTTTTTTGTTGACACTAAATATTACAACTAAAATAGTTCAAAAAAAGCTCTTAAAATTAATAAATTACAACGAAAGTAATATTATCATCGTTCTTGAAACTAAATAATGACAAAGAAAAGTGTGTTCATTACAATTTAGTAGTGTATTTTAAGAAGTGGGTGAAGACGGATTTTGATCTGAACGTGGAGGTTGATGACCTGCTGAAAAACTTTTCATAAATTGAAATAATTGTTCTCTAAGCAAACGTGAGTCTTCTTGTGATGCATGAATCAAATCCTCATGAGTCTTAAGTTTCTCTTTAAGGGTGTTATTTTCAGCAGACAAATCAAAAATAACAGTCCTCATTTGTTCATATTCAGATGATGAGATACCGTCAAATGTTGAAGATCTATATGACTTGTACTTTGCTGCTTCTGGTCCCAAACCATATATACGACCCTTCTTGTCCACTCCTCCAACAACATCTAAGAAGATGTTGTTGTCAGATTGATGACTAGAAACATCATCTCCAGGTGCCTCTTGTGAGTCCCTCTCAAGAATCCTTTTATCATACTCATTCTGTAAATAACAATTAAGTAAATTGATTCAATTCAAGCATAGTACAAGCATATATGAAAACAATTATTAGCACATGGGAAAACCATGATACAATACAAGCATAATAGTTTGAAGCATATGGAAAAATCATGATTAGCACATGCATCAAAGTAGAATGATCTTAAAGATGAAATTGGGAAAATTAATGAAGCATATGCATAAAGAGTAATTTACCGCAACCATCTCTGATTTTGTAGAAACCCATTTGTTTGGGTTACCCTTCACTCTGTGGGTCTTTTGAAATAAGTCCCAACAAGTTGGATTTGCATCTGAGGATTCTTTCTAAAAAAAAAAATCAATGTTAATTAAAATTGAAATATTTAACATAACATAAGAAATTAAATTTCTTACTAATCTCTTATAGTGCTCGGTTGTTGGAATTGATCCTCCAGTGTGTAGTGGACCATCCGAAGATCTTCTGTTGTGAGTGTTAATTTCTGACTTTCTTTTCCACTTATCGTCATTCCATTTTTCTTCTAATATCTTGAGTGTTTCAGTAGGAATCCAATCACCTGGATCAATCTTTTTTCTCACCCTATACATTGTGTTTGAATATGCATCAGAGGTTTTATGATCAAATATCTTCTTAATTTCTTCTTCATGTTCGAGTAGCCACTTGTACTTTCTCTACAATATAGATAATATAAGACAATATAGAATTAGATATTAAAGTAATTATGATATTACTTAAGATAAATTATTTTACGGTTCAAAAGAAAGTATAATCTGATTATCTTGTGGTTATTATAACTTCATATTTTTTTAACATACTTATAAAATTTGGAAATTATGGTTTATAATTAGAATAAGTTACCATTCTAATTATATATGTTCCATTTTACATACTGATGGAAGGGTTTATAATTAGAATAGTTTATTTCTAATTATATCTTAATCCCAACAATCAAACTGATTTTGTTCTAAGCAGTAGAGCTTTAACCGCCATGGCTCTTAAGGAAAAGAGAAAACAAATTTTGAAACATGGCATTCTTGACATTGAATATAAGAGGTAATTAACACCATTAATGATATTCATGATCATACTGAAACAAAGAGGTAATTAACAATGACAGAGATTTTAAGAGGTAATTAACACTAAACTACATCAACCATACATACATAAGTTTGACAAATATCTCTTGGGGTACATATGCGGCGTTCAACTCAATAAGCCTAAGTTTATTGTCAAACATTATACGCCGCATACACCTACACATAAAAAGAACTTCAACTATTTTAATATGCTCATGTTAATTAAAAGTGATTGAAAGAATGAATGCATAACTAACTTGCACACACGTTCAATATCTAAGTGTTTTGTTTGTTTAAACTTAAGGTGCTAGCTTAAATTTTTTTGATGATAGGTATAAAATTATCATTAGTGTCACTTTATTCAATAAAATTTTCTTTTTAAAAAATTTAGTGAAAAAAAAAGTGTTTGATTTACTCATAGAACACTGATTGTGGCATTCTATCTTAGAGAATTGATATAAACACAATAGTCTTTTTCCTCCAAGAATTACTTGTGACAGGAATGGAAATATGATAGGAAAGAAAGACAAGATTGAAGCAGGCAAAGTATACCAGAGTTAAAGCTTTCTAAATTGAATGGTTTCAAATCATTCATGCATGATAAAAAATATCTATCTATATATAAAAAGTTATTATATAACAAAGCTCTCATAAATTTAGGGAATGATAGTCCAATGTCTTGTCTTGCCTCAAAAAGTACCAAATCATTTGAATATATGGCACGCCATTAGGTGAAGACTTATCCTTACAATGCACCACAAGCATTGATTCTCCAACATGAAAGAAAACACATCTTGGAGATTATGTTAACCATTTGAGCAAAATAGATTATGTTTTTGATTGGCAAAATAGGCTTATTATGTCACGACCCAAACAGAACATGCCCGACAGCTCAAATTAAAACCTAAGTTTTGCAAGCAAGTATGTATGCGGCGTATACCGTTCGAAAGCACTAATATCTGTCAAACTTAGGTTTTAGTTCAATGAACAGAGAAAGCAAGTATGTTTTTGTTTTTCTTTCTAATATTGTTGTAGCATATATATCCAATCACACTCAATGATTCTCAACAATGACAATAGAATAAAAGAGGTACTTAACACTATTGGCGTTCTATTAGCCTCCCATTCCATTTTACAGAGATTTTAATTTTCCAATTTTTTAACACGCTTGATATATAATTTAAAATTCTTTTCATACCTTAAACTCTCCAAGCCATAATTCGTTCACAGTTTTAAATTCTTCTTTGCCCTTCATCTCTCCATAGTTTGTCCAAGACACTAAAAACTTACGTTTGATAATTTTCGCAATCTCTCGTGTAGGTTGAATTGCAGGGTCAAAACTACAACAAATTTAAAGAAATTGTAAGATAAAGTCATGATTTATTTATAAATTAAAGGAAGTTATTAAAACTTACATTTTTTGTGGACCTGGACGAATCCAAACCCTTCCATCAGTGGGGTCCTTACTTCCAATTTTTGGAGGTGAATCAACATGGGATGATGATACATGTGGATCATCACCTGATGCATTAGCTGATGGGACATGTGACGAGCTAGGCGGAGAAGAAATAGGTGGACTAACTGAGGAGGAAATATGAGGGCTAGGAGTGGTGTGTTGAAATTGAGAATCTACAGGTCTATGAGATGTGGAAGAATTTGTAGGCTGGCCAACAATAGATGGTGACAAAATAGTGGTACCCCTACCTTTTTCAGATGAAACATGAGGGCTAGGGATGGAGTGTTGAAATTGAGAATGTGTGACTCTATGAGATGTGGAAGAGTTTGTAGGATGGACACTAATAGATGGTGACAAAGTAGTGGTACCCTTACCTCTTTCAGATGAAACATGAGGTATAGGAGTAGAAGTTGGAAGTTGAGTATTTATAACTTTATGAGATGTGGAATTATTTGTAGGTTTCCTAATAATAGTTTGTGACAAAGTAGTGGTATCCCTAACTCTCTCGGGTGAAACACGGGGGATAAAAGTGGAATGGGGAAGTTGAGTATTCGCAGGTTGACCAATAATAGATTGTGACAAAGTAGCAGTAGTCCTACCTCTCTTACCTCTACTAATACCTCTACCTATACCTCTTCCTCCACCCTTCGTTTTATCATTGTCCTCCATCTATATATATAAATAAAAATATCAAATTGATTAATGAACATTAATAAGTACAAAATAAAAAAAAACATACACACAAACAAACAATAATTTACATAAATATGCATAAGAATAACACAAATATTATATTAACATATTCTTAAATATACAAAAAAATAAAATAATATTTTCCATGAATAAATAATGCATAATACCATCATAATCATAATTTTTGTCCTCATCCCATTCATCCTCTTCCTTGTCCTCTTCGTCATCCTCTTATTCCTCTTCCTCTTCCTCTTCCTCATCCTTATCCTCTTCCTCATCCTCATCCCCATCCTTTCTTTCCACTTGTTTTGATTCAAGTTGTTTCAACAAAGAGATTGACACTTCTTCTCCTATACCATTAATGTCAACATGGCATTGATGAAAATCATCATTAGAAACAACTATAGGTATTTGATGTACATCATCATCTTGATATGCATCGGTTATTTCATGTTTGTTTTTTCATGTATTTAATGGTGCTCCGTGCCTTGGTTTTTATGACACCTAGCCAACCTTGTTGCCCTTCAGGAAAAGATGTAAAGTAAACTTGGTCATCTTGTTGGGATAATATAAAAGGATCATAATTTGGATATCTTCTAGACTTTTTTATCTCAATATTGCCATAGTTATCCAACTTTGTCCCTTGAGAACTAGGATTAAACCAATCACATTGAAATAAAACCGCCTTCTTTGTTGGGTGACCAGTGTACTCTAGTTCGACAATGTCAATCAAAACTCCATAGTAATCATTTTCCAATGAATCAAATTGCTCTCCCCGAACACAAACATTGTGATTGGTTGTACTCATCCCTTCATTTTGAGATTTCGTTACAAACTTGTAGCCATTAATAACATAACCAGACCACTTAACAACTTCTCTAATAGGACCCCATGCCAAACTCCTTAAAAGCACATCATCTATCTTGTTCCTACATTAGACAAAAGATTTTGAATTCAACCCAAAAAATTGGATACTCTAATATTAACCTATAAATATTCACGTACATATGTTTTGAACCATGTCGGAAATGATGCGGAAACTTGCTTGTCCAAATCTGATTCATTCAACTCAGGATCTAACTCTTGTAACAATTCAGAGTGCATACTACACAAATACGATACTCGTTAAACTTTACTTCATAAAAAAATACATGTATGAAACTTTCAACTTTGAAATACTTACTTTAGGTAAGGTACCACTTCAGGACAATTTAAAAGAATATACAAGTGTGCAACTTTCATTTTCCCATCATCCAAGGTAGAAGTGGTACATTTTCCAAATGGACGGCCTGGGTAATTAAATATGGACAACGGAGGACCCAATGAAAAATCCTCTCCCCCATCATCATTGTGTGGCACTCTTGTTCTCCTTGATGGAACATCAGGTGGATAATAATAGGAAGCAAATATGGACATCTCCTCTAATAAATATGCTCTACAAATCGAACCTTCCACATGAGCAGGATTTATTACCTTTTGTTTTAAAGTTCGGATGAACCTATTGACCAAATCAAGATTATACTTAGATAAATGAAGAAAAATAAGGAAATTAACCAAGAAATTGTAAAAATATTGGATAATTAACCTTTCAAATGGATACATCCATCTATATTGCACAGGACCACCAACTCTTGCTTCATAAGCTAAATGAATAGGAAGATGTTCCATTGATTCAAAAAAGCTTGGAGGAAATATTTGTTCTAATTTGCACATTATGATTGAAATGTTTTCCTCCAAATTACACAATTTATCCTCTCTCAACGAAGACGATGTAATTTCTCTGAAGAATTGGCTGAATTCAGTTAGTGTATTCAAAATAGGTTTGGGTAAGGATTTGAAGGCTAGTGGTAGCAAACGTTGCATGAATACATGACAGTCATGACTCTTCATGCCAAACAACTTTGCTTCCTTTATATCAACACATCTACTTAAGTTAGAAACATAACCACCTGGAAGCTTAAGGTTTTTAACCCATTCACATACAGTTATTCGTTGTTGTTTGATTAATGTATATTGTGCCTTTGGTTTTACAAAGTTACCATTCCTACCAGGTTGAAGCTCAAGTCCCCTACGCTTGCAATGTTTTTTCAACTCCCTCCTAGAGTTTAAAGTATCTTTTTTCTTACCTTTGGTGTCCATTACAGTGAACAAAATATTAAGAAACACATTTCTCTCAATGTGCATTACATCAAGATTGTGTGGGAGAAGATGTGTTTTCCAATATGGAAGTTCCCAAAATATACTTCGTTTTGTCCAATGATGATTTACCCTATAGCCTGGTGGTTTACATTCTTCGGATTCTTCTACACTAGGAAATTTTCTAACTTTTTCCCACACCTCTTGACCACTCAACCTTTATGGAGGCATTGACATCTGAACTCTACCTTTTGTAAATGCAGTCTTATTCCTTCTATACGGGTGATTTATTGGTAAGAATTGTCGATGACAATAAAACCATGAGGTTTTTTTTACTGGGTTCGAGGGTGAATGCCTTAGAATTATTCATGCAAATTGGGCATGCTAGTTTTCCCATCGTCATCCAACCACTTAACATACCATAGGCTGGAAAGTCATTAATAGTCCACATTACTGCAGCCTTCATCAAAAAGTTTTGCTTCAAGGAAACATCATAAGTCATAACTCCATCGTCCCATAACATTTTCAATTCATCTATCAAAGGGTGTAAATACACTTCAATATTCCTCTTTGGATTGGATGGGCCCGGAATTATAATGTTTAATAACATAAACTCCCTTCTCATGCACATCCAAGGTGGCAAATTATATGGATTAATAATCACAGGCCAACAAGAATAAAGCTTGCCTGTTTTGTCGAATGAAGCAAAGCCATCTGAGCACAAGCCTAATCTAGCATTTCGAGGATCTCGAGCAAAGTCATGCCATGTTTCATCAAAGTGTTTCCAAGCGTTTACATCTGACGGATGAGACAATAAACCATTCTCCCTTTGATTCTCATGATGACATCTCATTTCGCGAGCTGTTTGTAATGAAGAATACAAACGTTGTAGTCGCGGAACAAGTGGGAAGTACCACATATGTTTCCGTGGAACTAATTTATCATGCCCTCATCTTCTAATATGCTTGTATCGCTCCTCTCCACATATTTTACACTTTTGGAGTGTGTCGTCCTCCTTATAATACAACATACATCCTTTCACACAACATTCAATTTTTAAACTTGCCAACCCTAGTTCAGCAATTGATTTTCTTGCTTGATAAAAACTTTTAGGCATACAGTTATTCTCTGGCAAAGCATTTCCCATAAACTGCATCCATCCATTGAAACAGCCTTCAGACAACCCACAGTCTGCTTTCAAACTTAATGCTGTTAAAGATGTTGACAACACAAAATATCTATCACAACCATCCCATAAAGGTGAGCGTGCTGCTTTCAACATTTCAAAGAAATTTTGTGCTTCTTCATTAGGATATTCTTCCATTACATCTTCTTCTTCTTGACCTTCTTGCTCTACATAGTTTCCAATTTCTAGTCCTGACATCTACTTCCATAATATGAATGACTAACAACTACTGGGGGAATCGGGGGAATCGCCTCACCATGGTTTTTCCAATGATAATAATCACTCATGAATCCTCTCCTGCATAGATGTTCCTTCACTTCTTCTGGATTTCCAAATTTCAAACATTTGCAATTCTTACACGGACATCTAATATTCCCTCCTCCAATGTTATTTTTATCTTGTGCTAAAGCAAACATAATAAACTCATGAACTCCAATATTAAATTCTGCAGTGATATTCTTGTGATAATCAACTCTATTATTCATCCACTTCCTATTTTCAAGTACTTCCATTTCTGAGCATTATTCACACAATAAAGAATTAATCATGGGTCATGTATCGCTTCAATCAAATTATAGAAATAAACTAGAAGCTTTAAGGCTTTGCATATTAAACACATAAATCACTTAATTTATTTAGCTCATCAAATCAAAAGAGAAGCTTATTAAAACTATAAACTTATTTTAATTGAGCAATTCTCACAGTCACAAGGTAGAAGCTTATTGAAACTAGATCAAATTACCTTAACCAAGGTAGGTCAAACAGTAGATGATTAGCAAAGAGTCCTTCTAAAATCTCTCTTCAAAACCTACAGCAAGAAGAAACATTAGCATGTTAGCAGTACAAGTAAAACAAAATTTGTCTTCCATTGTTCATAATATTACAATGTCTAATCTTATTAGTAAAGGTATAACTAGAAAAACATTTCACTTCAGAAGTTGGTCCAGTACTCACAAGCAACCAAAAATTCATTGAAAATAATTCTACTTTCACACAAGAACAATTCACTTCAGCCCCAAGAAACCAAAAAAACATTGAAAATAATTCTTCTTTCTCAATCAAATGGCTCCATGCTACTAACACTGATAAAGTATATTAAGGACTTGCTTGGTAAAGTCAATTAATTTTTTCATGGATATAACTAAACACAAATTTTCAATTTACTCATTTTTAAACCTGAATCAAATATATATAATCAATGTAGTTATAGAATTAAACACAAACTATAACATGGTTAGTTGAAGCTAAATGTCAAACTCTTTTACTTTTATCACTAAGTAAATATATACTAAAAATTATGGATATTACATTTTGTAGAAACCAATATCTTTTATTTGAACGACGCTATGGAAGTTGAAGTACATAATATATATGCAGTGAAAGTTGAAACATAATGCAGTAAATGCAAAGACAAAACAATAAGGTGAAAGAAACGTAACGAAAACATAGTTAAATGCATAGGGATAGATATAGAGAGTAAAAAAGGTATATAGTAAGATTGAGAGGGATATGTTATTAGAAAAGTCACTTTCTGCAAAATGGATGGAGAGGTTGATGAAATGTCCATATGGTTAATGTCATCTCCCAAATATCGAGTAATGGCAGTTACTTGTCACTTTCATATTTATAACTATATAGATATCATGTACCAATT